GGAATGCTAAGCGTTTATACTAAAATCATAAAGAACATATACGCAGACAGTAAGGCCAGAATCCAGTTGGAAACTTTAGGAGATGAATTTAGCATACAAGATGTGTGAGGCAAAGGTTTATCCCCAAAATTGTTCACTGCTGTGTTGGAAAATATCTTTCACAACCTATGCTGGAACTAGTATGGCATCAATATAAACTGGTCAAAACTGCACCATTTAAGGTTTGTCGACGATCTGATACTAATTGAACAACCTCCCGAAAATCTAGCATTCATATACATATTATGTTAAATAATCTAAATGAAGAAAGCACAAAAGTTGGACTAAAAATGAACACTAGCAAGGCCAAAATAATGAAAAACCGCAAAAAGCTCAACATCACAATTAAAGGCGATTTCTACATACGAAGATTACATAATATACCTGGGTCAACATAGGTAAAACTTAACGAAATAAAACTTACAGCAGGACTGGACTGCAGACAGGTAGCTCAAGATAGACAACAATGGTAATTGTTGAAGGCCTTTTCCAATAGGCACGCCGAACTAAGATACGTTTTGTAGTTTGTAGCTTCTTATATTTTTAGTTTTAATGTTAAAGGGTTTTCTTATTATTATCATCATCATCATTACAGCCCTTCATAAGTCCACTGCTGAACATAGGCCTCCCCCAAGGAATACCACAAAGCACGGTCCTGAGCCACCTGCATCCATCGACTTCCTGCATGTCTTACCAGGCCTTCACTCCATCTAGTAGGGGGACGCCCTACACTTCACCTGCCGGTACGAGGCTGCCACTCGAGAACCTTTCTTACCCATCGGTTGTCGGTTCTTAGAGCTATATGGCCGGCCCATTGCCTCTTCAGCTTACTAATCCGTTGGGCTATGTCGGTCACTAGAACCAGAGACTGCGGATATCCTCATTTCTAAGTTTATCATGCAGAGAAACTTCGAGCATAGCCCTCTCCATAACTCGCTGAGCGACCTTGAACTTCCGTCATCCAGCCAGCAGTGAAGGACCGGGTCTTTCACTGCTGGCTGGCTGACCTATGGAACTGAAACGTGTCTCATCACTGGCAACTCGCACTGGTTGTACAGTCCCGTTTTCAAGTTTTGAGGTATACCTGACGAGAAGATGTGCCGTAATTTCCTGAACGCTGCCCAACCGAGTTGATTCCGTCGATTGACCTCTTGGTCGAAGTTGGACTTACCTAGTCGGACTATTTGTCCCAGGTAAACATACTCGTCAACAACTTCGAGCTTAGTGCTCCCAACAACTACCGGCATAGGTGTGACATGGACATTAAACATGATCTTTGTTTTGTCCATGTTCATCTTAAGACCTATCCGTTGGGAAACACTATTGAGGTCATTGAGTAGTGCTTAGGTCCTCCAGCGATTCTGCCATAAGGACTATATCGTCGGCAAATCTAAGGTGAGTGATGTACTCGCCATTGATGTTAATACTGTATCCTTTCCAGTCCAGGAGCTTGAAAACGTCTTCCAATGCAGCGGTGAAGAGTTTCGGGGATATAGCATCACCCTGTCTTACACCTCTCTGCAGTTGGATAGGTTTCGTACTCTGATTCTGTACTCGGATAGCCATTGTAGCCCTACCGTACAAACACTTCAGCATTTCGATATACCGACAGTCAACTTGGCACTGCTGAAGGGACTGTAGCACCGCCCAAATTTCGACGGAATTAAAGGCTTTCTCACAGTCCACACACAAAAGGCAAAGTGGTAGATTGTACTCTTCTGTCTTCTGTACGATCCACTACATTGCAATATTCTAGGCACTGAAAACGGTTTTGTAACTCGAGCTGAAGTTTTGGGAGTTTGGACTAGAGCACGAGAGGGACGGAGCGTTGACTTCATTAGACGACACCTCTCCAACTTAACGTTTAAGTTCAGTGTGCCTCTAACCACTCGGTGATCGCTACCAGTTTTCATCTTCGCGATCACTGAGACATCACTGAACAGTTGTCGTCTGGTCATCATAATCATTTTTTGTTGAATCGTCGGGGCTCGACCAGGTCCACTTCCTGTGGGGTCGATTCTAGAAGAAAGAGTTCATCATAAATAGTACCTCTTTCTCAATGAAGTCGGCCAGCCGCTGGCCCCTTGTGTTCCGTTGCCCTATTCCGAATTTCCCTACTTTCAGTTCTCTCTTGTGCCGTTTTGCGTTGAAGTCTCCCATTAACACCGTATAGTGGGTTTTGGAGGAATGCATGGCTCTAGAGATTTCCTCCACCTCCTCATCGGGGTGTGCCGAGTTTGGTGCGTAAACCTGTATGACCTTCAGCGAATACCGTTTGGTGATTCTGAGTATAAGGTACGCAACCCTCGTCGACAAACTCTCAATTTTCACAATGTTGTCAACGAGAGACTTTTGGACGATAAAACCGACACCTCCTTAAGACAGGTGGTCACCTCCCGGTGATAGAACAAGTTGCCGGTTTCGAGGATTACCGTGTCCTCTCCCTCTCTTCGGACATCGGATAATCATATAATATTCCAGTGCAGTTTGCCTATCTCTTCGTCCAGTTCCGAGATCTTCTCGTCAGTCCTCAGGTTACGTGCGTTATAAGTTGCCAGGTCGAGTCGTCTAAGGTGGCAACCGAACCTCCACCAGAGATTCTTAGCACCCTGTGCCCCGCCGTTACCATGGACACCACTGTGGCCAGGAATAGCGGGGCCGCCGGGGACTGGGGGCCGTCTCTTTGTAACTTCACTCATTTGGGGGTAAATTGCCATAGTTGCCACGCTTGGCGATCGTGTTGGCAGCCGTAGTTTTTTATTGTGATATTGCTGTTATCTGGAAGAAGCTGCTGCCCATCTCCTGCATGTTTCCCATTGTCGCCTCTTACGATACCCACGGGAAGGCATGGGGTAGTGGATATTCTTAACCGCCACTACACGGCATATTATTATTATACATTTTACATATATTCTTTTTTACTATTTATTAATAGAAGTCAGTAGATGGACAAACTCTTTATACGCGAATAAAAGATACCAATAATATAAAATATAGCACAAAGGTAACATTGAGCAAGGGCAAGCTGTGGCTGAACAAACACATACTAAGTTTAATAACACTTTTTTGCAACTTTGCGACTACTGCGACGACAAAACTGACCATATCTTGATGAGAACTTATGTGGGATTATTCGAAAATAACTATAAGTGAGGTAGATACATTTATTTATTTTTTTCAGCTATAGATCGTCAATTTTAAAATTCTGACATCATTTACGCATAGTGCTATGTAAACATGTTTCAATCATACAATCATTTAATAAAGTTCAATTAACTTTAAAATTTCGTTTCAAATTGCACTACACCAAAAATATTATACAATTTGTATGAGAAATATACAATCATCAAAAAGCTTATTATATGTCTCTTAATACACTACCCAAAAGTCGTTTATTAATTGATCAATTTACGTTACACTAGAGTTATGTGTAAAATCTTAACATTTTATATTAAATTAAACACACCATTACATTTTACAATAATTTAATGTAGGCACGCAAAACGTTGTTTATTAAAATCACACACGTTCATAATATTGTAATAGTCTTATGTATACATAAGAAAATAATATGCGTCTGAGAAATATATATGTATGTAAATACACATGTTACACAAAAAGCTATTATACAGTTATCACTCTAGCCTTTGTAAGAATTATACATACAGAATTGTACTTGTTTTTTAAATAGTAGGAATATAAAATTCATTAATTAATATTTATTTACTCGACCAAAAATACTTATTTTTATATATTAAGGATCAAACTAGTAACGAAAGTACCTTTATGATTATGTAAATAAGAGAATTAAGTGTTTTAAATATAATAAATATAAATGATACTAAAAAGAAATGGTAAAATATAACAAAAATGGCACTTTGAACGACATGTCTGGCAAAATAACTGAATAATTTAACTTTATTTACATTTATGTCAACTTCTTATTAAAATCAACTATGATCTCAGTCAGTTTAAGATCACATTCGTCCTATACGTCATTTTAAACTCTAACATCGACAATGTGAATCCAACACAGGTTGTTGGCCAGACTTGGATGAATCTACCACAGATTATAAGATAAAAATATAAAGTTCGTTTTCTTTAATTCTGGAGGCACGGTATATATTCAATGTAACAAATTCATTACTATATATTAAAAACATATTATTTAAACTTTCATGAATTAAATACCAACGCACACTGTGATTCATGCAATTTAAGTTAATTTGATGTTAGACTCTTCGATTCTTATTTAAAAATAAGCTGCAGAGTTAAAAGAGGTAGTATATATTATGTAAATCGACTCTGAAAGCTAATATGGCATAGGTTTATATTTGTTTAAATTAAGATCGTACAAAAAAAAGCTAAATTCCGACTGTAAAGCGAGGAAATATCTGTCGTTCCATATATATAATATGGTATCGTAGGTCCTTAGGGTTTTTACACAAATATATTTATAATATTAAAATAAAATCAAAATTTGTTTTACGTTTATTTGCAGATACCGGATTACTAGAACTTATTGTAACAGAGACAACGATCTACGAAACCGAAGCTGAAACTTGCCGATTACGGGCAAATAAGCTCTTTCTAAAAGAGTAATATTTACAACGAGATACTGAATTCCATTAAGGGTTATCTACAAATGTAGGTAATGTAAAAATATGTAAGAAGCATCTTAATTAAAACTCATATCAATAAAATCTCAAATTTACAACCGTACTTAAGCTTTTTAACAACTCTATTGACCAATTTTTAAGGACCTTGGAAATGTTTATTTTTGACGTCAAAATTTTACAGAATTTCGTTAAATAAGTTTGCTAAAAGTAAGATACATTACGTTTCACGAATGCTCGTTTATTTTAAATAGCGTCGACTTTCAAATTATTATCTAACATGATGAAGTATCAAAAATAAATAAAAGGCACAATATTTATAGTCACTGAAAATATAAACGCGTTTTATGCCGGACACTGTCTCAGAAATTCCGAGTCGAAATAAACAATAGTTACAGTCATGTCATCTCTGAACATCCGGCAGACATCAGGAGACAAGCTCAGCAAATGCGCCAATCTAGAATGGTCCACGCCATACTCTGTGCCGCCGATAGCATTCCGAATTAAATGTGTTGCTGCATTTCTGTCTTTCGGTTTACTCTTTAAACTCTCCTTCCTGTGAAGCAGAAGTTCATTGATATCACTGAGTTGTATGTTTTTCTTGGGAAGTTTGAGTGGATTGAAGAAAACTTTTCCCTTCATATGTTCTCCAACCAACTTAACCGCTTGGACTGGAGTGAGCATATCCCATATACCATCAGAAGCAATAATTAAAAATTTATCCTTTGGTGTAAGTCTATGATAATAAATATCAGGTTTCGCGGTGAGGTAGGGAGGGGTGTGATAATTTGCAGGTATTGCTTTTTCGCCGATCAATGGTACTGCGACTTTAGATAAAATATCGGTAGACCATTTATATCGGTAATCGCCCATACTTCTAAGCGGTGCTAATTCTCCTAGAAGCCTGTCCCTTCTTATAACCGTTTTCCTCTCGCTGTCAGGATGTTCATTCCATATTCGTTTCAGTTCATCATAGTTCTCAGAATTATGCTCTTTTGTAATTTTCTTTGCTATCCATTCATTCTCATCTGTCTTGGTACCTAACACAGCATTACAATCTCCAATATTTGCGACATACAAATGTGGTCCATCGATATAAGATACGCACACAACTGCTCCTGACAACGCAACAGAGAGTGTCTTTGGATTTATAACTCCATTGTTTTTGAATGGCTCAACGACTTCTCTGGACAAATCGTTATCTAAATGCAAGATTCCTTTCTCCAGTGATGCTTTCACATCAGATTCTTCCCTTGGTGTTTTTGCTAACTCTAGCAAATACTGTTTAAAACTATTATCATATACCGTTTTTAGATCTTCTATTAATTCTACCTGGAACAAGTGGTAAAATTAAAAATTTTGTACAACCAACTTCAATATAAACAAAATGAGAACATCATCAATATAGTCCAAGTGAATAAAATACGCATTATTAAGGATAACTCAAAAACTACTGGTCAAATCTTGATCAAATTTATATGGGACCACACGAGAAGCACCACCTTTCAAACAAAAAGAGAATAATCAAAATCAGTACACCTAGGAAAAAATTCTGAGGTAACACACGTAAAAATACAGTCGAATTGAGAACCTCCCCCTTTTTTTGAAGTCGATTGTAAACTAAATGTTATCTGGGGGCCGGGCGGTGCCCCCGCCAAGTCGAGCAAAAAAGCGGCACGGCCGTACCATCCTTTTCTCGAAGCAGTTCAGGCCATTTTCTACAACTTCGTTGTAGATAAAACTAGAAGCTTGAATTTCCAGAAACCTAGCATGTACTGTATAAACACGTTATACGTTTACCCGTTTGGGTATTTTACACCTGGCTTATATGAGATTACCACAACATATAAGTCATAAAATTTTCTAGCATTTTGTTCCGTGGGTGTGTTGTGAGGTTAGGTTAGGCAGCTACACACGGTGAGTTACATTTATTATTATTTGGGGCTGTGCTATTATAACATTTAACTTAGCTGCTTTTTGTTGATTTTAAACAAGTACTAATGTAGTATATTTTTTCAAAAATCTATTAGTTTTTCATAATTCATCATTTGAAAGATTTATATGACAACACTGGACTTAGTTCAAAAGTGCAGTGGTAGAACTTTAATGGAAAATGATTGCACATACATTCAAGTAGTCCAAGCATCGCGAGTTTTTATGTCTGTCAGGTGTACAGGTGTCGTTCTGCTTTTGGCTATTTCTTATTCAGAGAGCTGTTGATTTACTTTTTTTGTTTATTATTTCTGTTGGTGTTGGTTTTAGTTTTAGTTATAAATCCGTCAGTATTTAGTAATTGTGTTGTTTTATATGTAATTAGTTAAAATAAAATGGAGGAAGATCCTCCCGATCCCGACGGGTTCCATGTGACTCCCATACTGTTACCAAAAAAAAAATATGCCTATCGAAATTGATCAGTCGAAGCGTAAAAGATTGCAACCAGTACCTCAGTTCGTCCTCAGAAAAGATTAATTACAGATCCATCTTAACCTGTACCATCTATTCCGACATTTTATACCCATCCTGACTACATAGAACAAAAACATAAATACTCTAATAACGACAATGCGCCGTTTATTGTACATGTAAGTAAGAGAGTAGATGATTTATCAACTGGAGTAGTTTTAAAACCGATAAAGTTTGGTCATTTTCTCCACCATAATAATATTAAAAGTGTTGTTTGTGATGGTGTTAAGCGAGTAGGACGCTATAGAATTTGCAGCCGATGCAAATTGTTTTATTGAGAAGCCAGCCCTTGCAGGTGCTAAATATGATAATGTAATCCCTTCTTATAATGTCACTCGCATGGGAATAGTGAGGCAGGTCCCTGTAGAATGGACATTAGAGGAACTCATTTCATCAATCGAGGTCCCAGCTGGTTTTGGCTCAATTATTAAAGCTCGCCGATTTAATAGAAAGTCAGTTAATGAAAACCAAAGCACTGTGTGGATTCCCTCTCAAACAGTTGTTTTAACATTTTCCGGCCAGAAACTTCCTCCTAACATTTATTGCTTTTTCACCTCAATGCCTGTTGAGACCTACATTTAACCTCTTATTCAATATCACAAATGTTGTCGTTTTGAACATGTAACCTCACAGTGTAGGTCATCTTCCCGTTGTTTTGTGAGTGCTCAAAATCATGAAGGAATATCATGCACAAGACAGTCTTCCACTTGCCTAGTTTGTTCAGGATCTCACACGGCTAAAGATTCTTCCTGCCCTGAACACTCTAGGCACAGATCTATCAAACTTACCATGTCACAGGAAAATATTTCCTATCTAGAAGCATCTGCCCGTTTCCCTAAAGTCTGGAGATCTTATGCAGATTCTGCTAGAATCCTTCCTTCGTATGATCATCAGAGTCCCTATCCTATTTCAAATTCCCCTTTACCTTCAATTGTCCCCTCACAATCTCATTCTTACGGGAAGACTACATCCACTCCAAGACCTCCGCCAAATCCAGCATCAAGTCATGGATTTGATAAATCTGCCCATGAGGCAATAATAGATAGCCCTTCTTCTTCAACTACTAATGGTTGTGCTTTAATAGGGCGGAGTATTTCCCCTAATGACAATCTCTGTGAATTAATGATTTCCATGCTTATAAGTATGCTTTCCCGTTTCAGTGATATGGATCTCCCACTTGCCCTCCGCCAAAAACTTACTGAGCTCATTTCATTGCCAAATAACCTTCCCTCCAATAATTCAGTGGAACTACCGCAGAAAAACGTATTAATTCACCTTATTAATAAATACCATCCCTCATCCTAGCCATCCAATACACATGGTTTAAGCCTGGGTCCCATTTGAGGATCTCAGGTTATTCATGCCTCAGGGATGATAGGAATGATGGTCATGCTGGCTCTTTCATCCTTATCTCAAAATCAATTACTTATACATTAATTTCCCTTCCTTCTCATAGTCCTTCAATTAATGTTGTAGCAATTAGAGCTCATAACACTTCTTTTCTTTCTATTTACATTCCCGAACCTAGTTTAAATATCTTATCAAAACATACGAGGATTATATCCTCCATCCCTCCTCCTATGGTAATTCTTGGTGATTTTAATATGCAACATACTTTATGGGGCTCCCATTTTTGTGATCCCTGGTCTTCTACATTTTTAGACATCATTGATGATTTAGATCTCTGCCTCCTTAATGATGTTTCACCTACACGTAGAATATCCCCGCTCCAAAATCCTAAAAGTGCAGTAGATCTATCACTCTGTTCTCCTGCTCTGTCGTCGCTTATTTCTTGGAGAATATTACCCTTTTCCCATGGCAGTGATCATTTCCTTTTTGATCATCATCATTAATCCCTTTAGCTCCTATACAGTCAATGTTCCATTTAATCCTAGGTTAAAATATTTCACAGTTCTAGAGGAAGAACTCTCAGCCCTTCTTCCTGTTCAGAAAGATAATGTTATTCAAGTGTATTCTACTTTTAAAAATGCTATCTGCTGCCAATAAGACAATTCCCATCAAAAAACTTTTGTTCTGTAGCATGTAAGAAGAGAAAGGAAACTGAAGTAAGATATTCCCACTCTATGAATTTTGATAACTATATTTTTTATTAAAAAAACATTAAAATTACTATCAGGAAAGAAAAAGGCTAGATGGCTTAAATTCTGTGAGTCGCTGTCGCCTAGGACTCATCCATCATTAGTCTGGAAAAATATAAAAAAATTCCGATGTTCAGTTTTGGCCTCTGAAAACACAACTTCTAATGATCAGTCTTATTGGCTAGTAAATTTTGCTAGTAATCTTGCTCCTCCTTCAGTACCATCTTACAATAAATGTATAGCATTTCAATCACAGTCCTTGCACTATCAACACAGTATTGATTCCCCTTTTTCTTATGAGGAGTTATATGCTGTTCTTAGTGTCCTTAAAGAATCTTCACCAGGAATCGATGGAATTCTTTATTCTTTTATTGCTAATAGCAGTGAACCTACTAAAGCCCATCTTCTTTCTATTTTAAATTATATTTACATGTCCGGTATTCCTCCTGAAGAATGGAAATCCCAAGTTATTTTACCTATTCACAAACCAGGTAAGCCTAACACTGATCCCTCAAGCTGCCGCCCTATTGCTCTTTCTTGTACCATGGCCAAAATCCTTGAACATCTAATAAAAAAATCGTTTAGATTGGTTTCTTGAAAGCAAAAACCTTCTAGCAAAAAGCCAATTCGGATTCCGAAAGGACTTAAGCATCATGGATAGCCTTAGTACTCTAGTTACTGATATTCGTATAGGGTACTCTAAACATGAATACCTTGTTGGAGTCTTTCTAGACATCTCGTCTGCATATGATAATGTACTTCTTCCTGTGCTCAGGCAAAAAATGCTTAATCTGAGTATTCCAGTGAGGATAGTAAATTTTGTCTCTAACTTTCTCTCTTCTAGATTCATTTATATTGATAGTCAAAATTCTCTACTCCCGCCAAGAATTGTATGGAAGGGTCTCCCACAAGGCTCAGTACTAAGTCCTTTGCTCTATTCTATCTATACTTATGATCTAGAACTTTCTGTTAACTCATTCCGTAACATCCTCCAATATGCAGACGATATATTTCACTGGATAACCTCCTTGCAGCTTGTTCCCGCTTGAATTTATCAATGTCTTATTTACAGGATTGGTTAACTGATCATGGTTTGTCTTTGTATGTTCCCAAAAGCAGTGTTGTGATCTTCTCTCGCCATAGGCAAGTCCCTGAAATCAACATTCTCTATAATAATGAACCTATTAGGGAGAATGTAAAATTTTTGGGAGTTCTTGACTCCAAACTAGTCTTTTCTCATCATATCAACTATGTCTTCAAAAAATGTGAAAAAATATATAAATACTCTTCGCACTTTATCGGGAGTTTGGTGGGGCTCCCACCCATTCTCCCAAAAAATATTGTAGAACGCCCTTATTCGTAGTCATTTGGATTATGGGTGTTTTGTCTTGGAACCATGTAATAAGTCTTCCCTAAAGATCCTAAACAGGATTCAGACCAAAAGCCTTCGTATAATCATCGGGGCAATGAAATTTTCCCCAATAAATGCTCTCCAAGTCGAATGTGTAGATCCCCCTCTTTACCTAAGAAGACAATATCTTTCAGACCGATTCTTTTTTTTAAATCTACCAACTCTCTTCCCACCCTCTCATTTCTAAATTACACCTTCTTTTTGAATATATTTCATCAAAGCATTACTGGACTCATAAAGAATCTCCCTGCTTATCCAACATTTTGGTAACATTACTCCATCTACCACACCCAGTATCACAATGCAAGTCCTGTCCCATCTTTGATATCCCATATGATGCAATTATTTACCAACCAAATATCCACCTCGACCTTGGTATTGAGAAAGATTGCCCTACAGCAAATAGTAAACTAAGAAGAGTCATAGATAATTTATGGAAAAGCTGGCTTATTATATACACTGATGCCTACAAAAAGTCAGGTGAAAGTTGCACTGGAGCAGCAGTTTGAATTTCCAGATACAAAATAATCCTCAATTTTAAATGTCCTTCTATTTCTTCCACTTTTACTGGCGAGGCCTCGGCAATTTATGAAGCTTTAATTTATAATGAAGCCCACAACTTAAATAAGTCAGTTATTCTGACTGACTCCAAAAGCTGTTTGTTAGCAATTTTGTGAAACCAGTTCCAAAGTAAATATAAGATACCCTTGATCCTCAAAATTAAACACACAATGTATAGATGTCATCACAAGGGCATTCAGGTTTCCTTAGCTTGGATTCCAGGTCACAGTGGTATCAAGGACGATGAAACAACTGATCTGATGGCTAAAAATGCAAGTCATAATGGTTTGCCATATAATTTAATTTACTCTTCAGACATAGTGTTACTTGCAAAGAAGAAGTTAAATAATAATTGGAATACATTATGGAAAGCCACTCAAAATATAAAAGGTAAAAACAATTTGTAGACTTAGAATTGGTCATGCTTGTACGCCAGTTCCCTCTGCGAATGTGGGTTAGATGAGTGAACCTCTGACCATATTTTTTTAACTGTCCTAAATTATCTTGAAACTTTATCTGTCATTCTTTTTTTTCTATATAAATAAAATTAACATGTTATTGTGATATTATTACTTAAATATCCAAGAATTTGGGCACATCACACGCTTTAGGGCCTTAAAGGATCTAAAAAGCGTAAATAGTATAAGAATTAAGTCTTAAGTCAAAAGCTGAAATAATGATTTAATAAAGAGGTATGGTATATAGACTGCAGGCGATTTAAGCAAAACAAAAATCCTTTTATTTTTGACTCTTTGTCAGTGAAAAGTATTTTATCTATGTAATGTGCAAACAGAACTATAACAAAATAAAACGTGTGTGGCTGAATTAAATTCATTTAGTATATTTATAAACCTAGCCCCGGTCACTCACATGCGTGCCAACATTCGTACATTGTACAAATGTTTGCACGCATGTGAACGGCCGTCAAATATTAATTCGCAAACTTAGCGCATATAGAAATGTTTGCGCTTCCTACTACACTTGCTTACGAATGTCTCAGTCCTCTCTAGAATTTCTCTTTTTTAATTCGTCTATGGAACATTGAAGAGAAAATAAATTTTTAATTCTTTCCCAGGCGTCATTAATGGCCTTTCTGTTTTTATGAGATTTCTTTTGAGTATCCCATATGGTCAATTCATTCTGCAGGAATTCAATGAACTCCATCGCCTTAGTGTTGTTCCAATCCATGATGAAGTTAGTTTAAGTACGCTACATAGTAGACTTCACGAACTATGAAAATGGCAAAACGTTCATCACCTTGGCAATCGTGTGCGCAATTGGTCGCACGAATGTGTGAGAGAGTACGCGAAGGCTCGAGGTTCGCGCGCTTTGATATCCGAAAACATCGACACAGTTTGGAAAACCGCAAATGCAGCAAAACTTTGCACAATCATTTGCAAATGTCGTTCTACACTTGTAGGTTTAAGTATTCGTGCAAATGTGAGTGACCGAAGTAAGGATGCCGCGCAAACCTTACCAGGGTAGCGCTGAGATCCATACACTAAAATTATACTTTTTAGCGTTTTTCTTTTATCATGCACTAAAATCAATCAATTGATTGCAGTACACATGTAGTTTGAAAATTAACTACGAATTGAATTGAAACTAAATTAACTGTAAACAAACTTACCCTATCATTAAAAATTTCTATTAAACTCTCTTCAGGCTCCTTTATAAACTTGTTTAACGAGTCCATTGGAAGCAAGGCTGCCGCTATATACTTTAATAACCGCTTTGATATAACTTGAGCACATGCCGGGCCACCGTGTCCATCATATACACCCATTAGAATACCTATAAAATAAGATTGACAAATCAAATCATGGTTATAATACTGTTACGCGCCACTATTAATGTCTTGTACATGGCAACACTAGTTACACTAGCGCCCTCTAGTGTCGAGTAAAAGAAAGTGTTGCGCGCCACTGTTAATGTCTTGTACATGGCAACACTAGTTACACTAGCGCCCTCTAGTGTCGAGTAGCAGAACTAGGAGAGTCGAGATCCTTCCAGAAATTTCGGAACCGATATGTACTCGAACATTCTAGATGTCGCTACAGTGGAAGGTTCTGGAAACTGTCTGAGGCCCTTTATAAGGCCGGTATGGACCACGACCAAGTCAGTATTGAATTGGCGATACAAGCGAATACTTCGAAGCGAAATAACTGCGAACTAAAGTAAACCCCAAGCTCGTAACAATTGGTGTCAGAAGTGGGATCAAATATGCCGATTTTACCTAAAGACGACACCGAGGGTATCCGTACCCGAAGTCAACGCCAACAGGAGACGGACCAGAGACGATTTGGTGGTGCAACGTCACAGACGTCGGCAGGCCAGTTTCCGACCACGGGGTCCGGCCCGTCAGCAGCTCCTGCATCTGCAGCACCTGACTTAGGTACTCTGATGATGATGCTGCAGGAACAGGCCCGCCGACAGGAGGAACAGGCCCGCCGACAGGAGGAACAGGCTTGTCGGTTGGAAGAGCAGCTGCAGCGCGGACAGGAGGAACAAGCCCGCCAACAGGAGGAACAGGGCCGTCGGTTGGAAGAGCAGCTCAAACGCGATAAGGAAGAGCAGATACTTCTCATGAAGGACCTTCACGCTACCTTCGGGAAAGATATAAGTGAGGTGAAAGATAAGGTTGCTCAATATGACAACCGCCTGTCGGAAGCTGAAACCCGAATCGACCAAGTGTACAATCGGGTTGACAATGTGATGGCTGACGTGAAGAAAACGCTGAACGACCTCAAAATTGGGGATGGAGTTACAGCTCCCGTGGTAGCTACAACACCTTCGCTACGTGGATTCAAAGTGCCACCGTTCGACGGGACTTCTTCCTGGTCGGCCTATAAAATCCAGTTCGAGGCTGTCATGAAAGTGAACGGCTGGAATAAAAGTCAGGCCATGACTGCTCTCACCCTAGGCCTGCGCGACCAGGCATTAACTGTTCTGGAAGCTCTCGGTAAGGAAGTGACTTACGAGCAGCTCCTTGAGGCATTGGAGGCGAGATATGGCGACGCTCACCTGGAACACGTCTTTCGTGCGCAGCTCAAAAATCGCGTGCAACGCAGTAACGAAAACCTGCAGCAGTGGGCCCTTGAGGTGGAGAAGCTGGTACGAAAAGCGTACCAGTCTGTACCTGCGCTTATTGTAGGGAACCTGGTGCAGACATTCATCGACGGCATCCGCGACCTTGAAGTCAGAGCTGCTGTGAGGCTCGGGCACCACGAGACGCTTAAGGACGCCTTGACCCATGCACTGGAGATGGAAGCCGTGCGGCAGGATCATCGTTCCCACCGCGTCAGGGAGGTTGCAGCAGCTACAGTTCAGGACAGCAATAAAAGCTACAGCCCTAGGTGCTACGGCTGTGGAGAAAGGGGTCATCTTCGATCCAGCTGCCCTAAGCGAACTATAGAAAGGGAAGGTGATCGATCTCGAGAGGGTAGTGCGGCTAACAGCACCGCCCAGCAGCAGCAGGGAAACTGGCGGGTGCTGGCTGATGTTAAAAAAGCCCCAAGGATTTCGATCTCACAAACCCGTGATGGGAACAGCCTGATCATCAAGGGCGAAGTCAACGGAACGCCGTGTAAACTGACCATAGACACTGGAGCCTCTCGCACGGTTGTCAGTTCCCAACTTATAAGTCGGTTCCTTGGGGACTCCGCATACAACCGAGAACGCATTAATTTGGTGACAGCCACTGGTCAGCGCATACCCGTCCGTGGAGAGAAGGAGATGGAGTTGAAGCTAGGCAACATGATCTACCTGCATAATGTCATCGTGGCTGATATAATGGACGACTGCATCCTGGGCCTAGACTTTATGAGGAAGAATTGTTGTGAGATCGACGTTAAGCAAGGTGTTTTGAAATGTGGACAAGAGGAACTTTTCATGGAAGGGGCGTTACCGGGGAATGTGTACAGCCTTAAGAAGATCGCTCTTCCGCCGAGATCGGAAACGATTGTGCCGGTTAGTCTTCCTCGGAGTCCTGGGCAAGCTCATCGTTGTGTACTCGTAGAAAGGGTAGACAATGACCTTCCATGGAAAGTGGCTCGAACCTTGGTCAGAACCACCGACATCTCAGGAGTACGTGTGTTGAACCTTTGTGATCAGGAACAGATTATAGAAAAAGGCACATTGGTTGGTACTAGTGAGGAAGTGGATTGGTTGCGTCGGTGCGAATATCTATCGACCGGGACCCCTAGCAAGGATGGACAAACGAGAGTGACCACACTTTTAGAAGACTGTCGCAGCGTTCTCTCCCCGAATGAAATGGTCAAGGCGAAGAAGTTGTTACTCAAGTACGCCAATGTTTTCTCGTCAAACGAAGCTGACATAGGAAAGACTGGCTTAGTTCAACACAAAATAAACACAGGACAAGAATTGCCTATTCGTCAGCGGCCAAGAAGATTGCCTGTAGCACGTGAAAAGGAAGTGGAAACCATGATTCAGGGAATGGTCAAGGATGGTGTTATTGAACCTTCATCTAGTCCATGGTGTTCACCTGTGGTGCTGGTAAAGAAGAAGGACGGCAGCATGCGGTTTTGTGTTGACTACCGCCGCCTGAACGACGTTACAAAGAAGGACAGCTATCCCTTGCCAAGAATTGATGACACGCTGGACATGCTTACAGGTGTAAAGTGGTTTAGTACGCTGGATCTGAAAAGTGGCTACTGGCAGGTTGAAATTGACCCTAAGGACAAGGAGAAAACTGCATTCTCCACAGGAAAGGGCCTGTGGCAATTTAAAGTCATGCCGTTTGGATTGTGCAATGCTCCAGCAACGTTTGAAAGGTTGATGGAGCTTGTACTTACCGGGCTAATTGGAGATGCCTGTCTCGTCTATTTGGATGACATCATCATCGTAGGCCGTACGTTTGAGGAACACCTTCAAAACCTGGAACGCGTGCTCATGAAGATCCAGAGTGCCAACCTCAAGTTGAGTCCAAAGAAGTGCTCACTATTCAAACGGCAAGTTAGTTTTTTGGGGTATGTAGTGTCGGAAGAAGGTATCCGCACGGATCCAGAGAAAATTGCTGCTGTCAAGGAGTGGCCGGTCCCAAAAGACAAGACACAGGTTAGAGCATTTTTGGGTTTGTGCTCTTATTATCGGCGATTTGTGAAGAACTTTGCAGATATAGCCAAACCTCTGCACAAGCTAACCGAGGAGAAGCGACAATTCTGCTGGGATGAAAGTTGCGATATTGCATTCCAGGAGCTCAAGAACCGTCTGTGCAAAACACCTATTTTGGGGTACCCTGATGCGGGCAAGGAATTCGTAGTTGACACAGACGCAAGTGATATAGGACTTGGCGGTGTGTTGTCTCAACGGAATGGTGATCAAGAGATTGTGATAGCGTACTTCAGCAAGTCGTTGTCAAAGCCGGAAAGGAACTATTGTGTCACAAGACGGGAATTGCTTGCTGTGGTAAAGTCCTTGCAGCATTTTAGCAAATATCTTCTAGGGCGGAAATTCCACTTACGAACTGACCATGCTGCACTCAAATGGCTATTGCAGTTCAAAAATCCGGAAGGACAAGTTGCGAGATGGATTGAACTACTGCAGGAATACGACTTTGTGATCGAACATCGCAGCGGGAAATCTCATGGCAATGCAGATGCATTGTCAAGAAGACCTTGCCCTGAAGATTGCAAGCATTGTACTAGGCAAGAGGGTAAGGAAGTGGTATCTGTGAGAATGCTCAGGACAGACCAGCTCAGCAATGAGTGGAAGGACAGCCTACAACATGCACAGCAGGAAGATCTGGACATTAAGCCGATTCTGGAATGGATGAAGGCCAGTGCTCCTAAGCCCAAGTGGAGCGACGTCTCAGCAATGAGTTCGACCACGAAAAGCTATTGGGCCCAATGGGACAGCTTGCTGATTCAGGATGGAGTCCTGTGCCGTAAATGGGAAAATGGTCGGGGAGACAGTTGTCATTTGCAATTGGTTGTCCCTAAGGCTAAAGTACCGGATGTTCTACAGCTGTACCATAGTGGTTGTTCAGGAGGCCACCTGGGAGTTAAACGAACTCTACTGAAAATCCGAGAACGGTTTTACTGGGTCCACTGTCGTGACGATGTCGAGGACTGGTGCCGCAAATGTACTAGTTGTGCGGCTGTAAAGGGACCTCAAATTCGTAGTAGAGGCGCATTGAAATTGTACAATGTTGGTGTACCATGGGAGAGGATAGCCATTGACGTTGCGGGGCCGTTTCCGGAAAGTGAAAGTGGTAACAAGTATTTCATGGTTGTGATGGATTACTTCACTAAGTGGCCAGAAGTCTTCGCCATTCCAAATCAAGAAGCTTCAATAATTGCAGATAAACTAGTTCATGAAGTCTTCTGTCGTTTTGGAGTACCTTTAGAGATTCACAGCGATCAAGGAAGGAATTTCGAGTCTCAAATATTCCAGGAAACTTGCAGAGTTATGGGTACTCATAAAACACGAACAACTTCTTACCACCCACAATCTGATGGAATGGTAGAACGATTTAATCAGACATTGGAAAGGTACCTGGCAAAAGTTGTGGAAAAACGGCAACGAGACTGGGACAGGCACATACAACCGTTTTTGTTGTCATATCGAAGCGCTGTTCACGAAAGTACGTCAGTGACGCCAGCTTTCGCAAACTTTGGGAGAGAATTACGGCTGCCTGCAGATCTGATCACCGGAATACCACCTGATGCCCCACGCAGTATAACCGATTATGCAAATGAGTTGCGGAACAAAATGAATGACATTTATGAGCACGTCAGACAGACGGGCCAGCAAACGTCTGAGAAGATGAAAAC